TCGGCCGTTTTTGTGCCCAAGAATCGTTTCTCCTGGCAGCGGGAGAACGCATTGCCAGAAAGCACCCGGTCGGACAAGCGTTCGAACACTGAGCGCATCCGGCACGAGCCTTGAGCAACATTCGCATTCACGTGAGAGGCGGCTTCCTGAACTGCCCAGCCCCCGTCCCGACAGTCCGTGGTACACCTGAGGGTCCCAGATGAAATATGCCAGCATTTCTTGAACTTGCTCACGTGCGCGAGCTTTCACACTTGCCTGCTCGCTTCTCGCGTAGACATCACAATGGGCGTCAGGCCTGAGGTCCCGACCTCCTGTCACAGCGCCTCCAGCTCTTGGCAAGAGGCCCCGAAGACCGGTGAAGTAGTGTTGAAGCCGCTGAAGCCTCCACGTTATAGAACAGCGTCATGGTGCATACACGGTCTGAGGGATGTCAGGGCATGAGGCGGTAGAGGGGTTGCAAGGCTTGCTGCTGCAAGCTTCGCTTCAACCTAGCAAGCACTACCATCAGTATCAGGAGCCGTGTTCTGACGTCGATTGCTGGACAGAGCTCAGGGTGCGGCTACTTTTTGCGAGATTCCGCGGCGTGCGGTAGTTTCCGAGAAGGCAGTGTAACAGCAGAATCTGCGCCCTTGAGGTGTAGTGTTTGGGCATCTCAGCACCCGAGCAGGTTGAGTGGTCTGATTGTGGCCTCGGGCATCCTGTCAGAGCAGCTTGCGGTTCCAGATCAGGCTCTCTGCTGTCGGCATGAGATTGCGGGGGCATGTGCCCCTGGCGTGAGCATGGGGAGCTTCCTTCACTGCATTTAACACAATGCTATCGCTATGACGCGATGAGCTGTTGCAGGCGTCTTGGCACTAATTTGTCCTTCTCTGGCTTGATGGGCTCTCAAGGCCTGAAGATCGTGTCCACCAGCCACCACCCATTTCCGAACAGCCTGAGCATTTTGCTCGTCCTTGGTTTGTTGCTGTGGCGGCCCTTCACCTTGTGATCGGGCCCAGGTTCTAGTCATTTCGCGAGGCCAGCCGCAGGCCCGAAGGCACGTGGTCCGCCCGTTCGATCCGACCTCGCCGTGTAGAGCCGGCAAGATGCCCGGATGCTCGGTACGGTGAAAGGCGGAGAAGCGCCACACCGCTGAGCTTGCGACCTGCCTCTTCATCTTGAGAGCAGCTCTTCTGGAGCTCCTGTCCTTTGTACATGGCTCACCTGTTTCCACTAATGGCAGAAGCTAATGTTGCCTTTGCCTCGCTGCTTCAAGTTGTCCGGAGAACAAGTTGCAAGCCTTCATCCTGTCTTCTCAGCTTCGAGCATACGGCGTCAGGCCTCGCCACGTCCTCCTTGCGATGCCAACAGTCGCCTCCTGCAGACTTTGCTCTGCATGTATGGTGTGCTGAATACTGGCCTCCTTCCATTGGTGGTTCGGGAACAGGGCCGATCAACAAGGACGGACAAAGTAGCTTCCCACTCTGTTGTCTCGGCGCTTGGCGTGACTTTGTCGTCTCCAGCGCTTCACTCCTTCGTGGCCTGCCCCGCAGACATCTATGAAACCACTTCTGGTTACTTTCCTGATGATCTGCAGCTTGCCATTCCCTTGACAACCTAGGTTGTGGGCAACGTAGGCCTATGTAATGCAAGGAGACCTGTCGACAGTCCGGCAGCGTAGGGTCACTAATCATTTAGGCTCCTCTTTTGAGGTTCGGGTTGTCTGGTTCGCGTGAAGACCCGTAACTGTTGCCGCGGAAGAAATGGCCAATGATGGGCCGCTTGTCTGCTGCCAAGCAGAGTCGACCCGAGCAAGTGCCATCATGGCTGCTACAGAAAGCCCTCCAGAAAACGCTATGATGATTACAATCCCGGTTGCTGCCATGCACCCTCACAAGGACCATCGCTGCTAACGAGAAGCACCCTGCATGCCACTTCTCCCACGCCAAGGGCTCGCCACTGGCAAGGTAAAATGTATTGCTTGACCGTGCAGCCGAAGCCACGCCGGGCCGCACTGAGCTGTCATGCGTCTATCCTGGACTACCTGGTCAAAATGGACGGAGTGCCTCAGAAAAGGTGTTGGGGGCTTCGCATGAGCTTCGGCTCAGTGCGGCCTCGATCTCATGTTGCGAAATGGAGATGCGTAAGGCCAAGATGCTGCTGCTCTTTAGTATCGACTGCGTGCAAGTTGCGATGGAAAAGTGTTTTAAGACGGAGCGCAAGCATTGGGTGGCAGAGTTGTTTGGCTGTGGCCGCCAGCGCTTCGCTCGAGGCTGGATCCGACTTAGAGATGGTTTGCACTCTTGTTCAGGCAGGCCAAAATCTCCCGCGAGCATCCTCGACCTGAAAACTTACCTCTTGGTTGCGATGCAGAAAATGTAGTTACAACATGCTAACATTCACCCACTGTGCCAGCGCTGGGTTACCCGCACTGCAGCTCCCACCGCAGAGCTGGGCTTCGAGACAGCATTTGGCGCAACACAGCTGGACACATGTCGACTTGGATCTGTCTCTGCCAAGAGCCGTTACTGCAAGCTGAAATCCAGCTGGTCTTTGGCCAAGACATGACTGATGCTTCTTGAGCGCCCACACAGGCACGTCGGTTTGATCCTGTGTAGAGGGATCTTGCCGGGCCTTCTAGACGATGCACTGCATCCTGTGTGGGGTGTGCGGTGCACACCTTCACAGCTGCACTTTGCAGAGTGCTCTTCCATATGCCGGGCGGTGTTTTCGAAGTGACGAACCCCAAGGCGAAGTCTGTAACCCCCCCCAGCAGCAGGACTGTCAAGTGCCTTTGCTGGGATTCATTGGCAATGTTAGCCTTATGAGGTCAATGCACACCGTCCATACACCTCAGCCTCAGGGGAACCCCAGGTTTAATGGAGCAGAGGAGGCGGAAAGCAGGGCCCGCAAGAGCCAAACGCAAGCTTGGCATCGAAAAAGGTCGTCGCGCAGACTTAGGGGGCACGCTCCTCCCCTAAAAGTCAGGGGTATAGCGAAGTGGAAAGCCCATGTTTTAAGAAATCATCCTGTTGAAGCTGCAGGTCCGCAAAGTCGTATTCCACCCCAAGGGGTTTCATGGAAGGATTCAATTTGAGGGTGGCTTGACTTTGGGTCCGCGAAAGAATCGCTTCGAGGAGAGGTTGAAGCAGATTTGAAGCACCCAATTGCTAGCATGATGACCCATTGAAGAACTCCGTGTGGGATGTTGAGCGGCTGGCTGGCAGCTGCATCCTGGATAGCTTCAAGGCTTCGTGCAGCCAAAACCGTTTCTAGCTGAAGCGCTCCAACTCCATACTTCCAACATGCACAGTAGCTTCATGGCATTGACCGGTTGATGCAAGACCTTCGCGATACACAAACCAGCTGTAACACTTCGGATTTAGGAAAACGCCACTGTCGCCATGGGCAGCTGCTGCCAGAGCGGGGTTGTCGATGAGGCCTTGTGGCTTGTCCGGTTCTGTAACTCGAGCTTCAGCATCAAATTCACGGTGCAGGAACCCTTGGTGCGATAAGTTCATTGTTGATGCAATTCTGTTCTTCTACATTTTCGTGGTTGGCAACGGGATGCGGGTGTTTCTCGAAGCAATCGCAGCAAGTAGCATGGAGGCTTAGATTGTGGTCTTCGGACGTTTAGTTTCAGGGTTGAATCTTGAGGGACACCTCATAAACCGTGGTCCTAGTCAAATGCATGATTACGGCATCACGGCTTAGTTCTGCCTGACTTTGTTCTTTCGACATGCCCTCGCATAATCGAAGCTTCGCGGGGCCAGAGCTGTTGTTCAACTGAGCTTCGGGTTCACCCTCGGAAGCCGGAAGGCCATCGGATGAAACCCACCTGAGACCTGTAAATTTGAAGCTTGGGCCTTCACCGGCTCGAAGTCACAAGTCCCCTGTAGGGCTCGGAGTGTTTGGCCGAGGAGGTTTCGCAACTTGGCGAACGCTTAGTTTCTCACCGAATTCCTGGGTTCGAGTTTCTGCTTCATGTGTGTTGGGGTGGCTCGCAAGTCTTTGGATATTCGAGCTTCGGCTTAGGGATTTGGAGAGATCTTCTTGCCTGAGATTTCGGGATGCGGCCTTTGCATTACCTGCTTGGGCGCTCCCCAGGCTCTAAATAGGCGATTGGTGGTTACATGAGGGACTCTTACCTCTGCCGGAAACAGTACGGGATCCAACGCAAGTACCCCTGATTTCAACAGTTCGACCAAGACGCAGAAGAAGACTCGAAGGGGACCGAACCAGCTCGACAAGTCTACACGCGGCTCCATGCAAACCCACTACACATCGCCACAAGGGCCCCATGCGTTCAAGAACACCATTGTACATCGTGTGGAGGTACCTGTATAGGTCGTATGCACCCGAGGATGTGTTTTCTTTCGGATGCTGTCGTGAGACGGGGTTACTTCTTTCAGCCGTGGGAGACTGCGATACCCAAGGGCACGAGGATCAGCGCGTCTTTCGCACCGATCACTCCTGCACCGGCCCCAGCTCAGAAGCAAGAACTTGGAAGCAGTCTCAACAGTTTCAGTTTCATGAGTCATGTTTTCGGATAGCGCGCCATGAGGTGGTGTGGGAGCTTAAACGTTGTTTTCTCCTCCGAAAGTTCCCCCAGCAAAGCCACCATGCGGGTATCGTTCGTGCTCCGATCACGCACGCAGCGTTGCATCTCTCAGGATTCGTTGGCGCCTGGCAGCAAACCAGTTCTGTATTAACATCTCCGCCTTCCGAGTTCGTGTTTGCTCTTCGACACGCTGGCTCAAGTTTCATTTGCTTCCGAGGTGGGGAGGTCTAGATGGAGGTACATGCTTATGCCATCCATTTGACCGCCAGACCCCCCTTCCTACATCTAAACAGCCAAGCTCAACCTCTCACGGACCAGTAGTCTAGTTGAGTAGAGTGGAATGCAGACTCAATGCAAAGGCCAGCGAGAGGGATTTCAACAGTGCACAGTCCTTTGCCGTGCCAGAATGGACGGGCCTGGTGAGGAAAACTTCGGCACTGCCTGGCGAGCAGCAGGGACCATGGCCGCAGCAGCCATTGCCAGCCTGTTAGCCTCGGTAGGGCAACTTATTGCTGAGCACGATGGCAAGTTCCCCTGTCTTCTGCAGGCACAGACAGCCCTGCGGGCATTTGCAGCCGTGGCATTGTCGCGAACAGCATACGAGGTAGTTTGCCGGATACCTTGGCGGTCCATCGGGCATCGCCCCTTGCAAGACGCGAGCCGGAAGCTACAAATCCAGCTGCAAACAGCGACAGAGGAGTTGAGCATCGTCAAATCGGAAGTGGAATCCTTGACGATGGAGAAGCAGCATCTCGAGGCCCGGATGCAGCGATCCGAAGCATCTCGCGAACAATTGCGTGGGAGCTTTGCATCGGTTCTGTCTCGCCTGGAGCGGTCCGAAAGAGATGAGTCGCAGCTGCGGCAGGAGATCCTTCGCATTATGACACTTGCCGCATCAGGACCACAGCCACAGAGCTATGATGCCCATCCGGGCCTACAGAGCACAGAGATTCCTGCAGACTTCACCTTTGCGCCAAGCACACCCTCGTCGACAAGGTCAAGCCGAAAGCGCAAGACGGACCAGCGATGTGTGTCCAGTACTCGCTTTGCCGATTCGTCACTGGCCAGGACCGGCGATGCCATCAGCGAGTCTTCCTTCGAGGATGAGCGAGAAGAGGGAAATGAAACTCCACCGGATTCTGAAGACACCGCAACACCAGACACCGCCAAACGAGATTGCGGCGACAGTCCCCAAAAGCAATCTCATCGTGACAGCCGCGCCTCCATGAAGCCTCGCACGGAGCAACAGACCGGAGAGGCCGAAGCCTTGGTAGCAGAGGCAGCCGAGGCAGCCAACGCGAGCTCGGGGACGCGAGGGAGTCAGGCCAAGCGCCAGCGGCTAAGCTCGAGGAGCGCACGTGCAGCACGACGAGGATCTCATGGTCATGGCGGTCATGGAGTGCACATCGTCATCAGGAAGTCCCGCGACAAGCCCTAGGCCCGGAAAGACTTCGGGGGTGAGGCACTGTCTGGACAGACGGAAGTGCTCTTGCGGCTCCAGGCTTTCGCTGGCTGAGTCTCCGTGTTCGGAGGTCTGTTAGGATCAGGGGGCTACAATGGTTCCAGCTCAAGAACGGAGGTCTAAGTATAGTAGAAACGGTCCGGCACCCCAATCCTTGACCTCATGTTATGGAAAGTGTGCATGCTTTCGTGCTCACTTACCTTATCATACAGAGTTGTTTGGCATGATCTGCCAGGGCAGAAACAGCCGCCTTGTGGATCATGCCATCATGACAGTCTGGGCCGGATGGTCAATTCCGATACATTGTATTACATGGCACTACAATATACTATAATATATGGTATTAAACTCTAACATATGTTGGAATATTACGTGCAACATCAGGTAACTAGAGAGCCTTTGCGCTTCCTATCACTGTTGCAAGTGCCACGTGTAGCTCGGACAGTGTGGTGTTGTCACATTCGTCATGCCCGTCTCCTGCTACTTTCGCCTTGGGACAGTTTGCTACTCGAAGCCTGAAGTGTGAGCAAGTCCACACAGATCTGACACGACCCGGACTGGTCTCCGTTTGCGATCTTGTTGCAAGACTAGCAAGCATTTCCATGTTTGCTGTCGATGGTTTCAGAAGCGAGATCACTAATTCGATGCATGGCGACTCGAAGAGGGACAACCGCGCCTAGAGATCGTCCGGATGTGAGAGGAAGAACTGTTCACCAACCCAATACCTTGGCAGTCTCTCCCTGCGATCCTGAATCACTCCACAGCCAAGGTCTGCCGGATCTGCTCCCACAGAGGTGGACGATGCGCAGCTTTTCGAAGTGCAAGCGCCTGAGCTCGCGGGACTGCCCAGCTCGGCTAGGGCCGGGGCAGAGGCTCGACTTCTGTTTGCGCCACGAGAAAGCGAGCCAAAGAGAACGAGACGGAAAACAAAGGCCTCGGGTGGCTCAATTATGATTCACACAGACACTGGAGCCAACCGACGGTATTGTGGGCACTGCCACCCTGGCAAACGACCCCCCCCACATCTTTCTCCACTACTTCAGCATTGAGCTGCCGCTTACTGTGCAGCCAAACACTCGTAGAAATCTCAAGTCCGTCACTTGCACGAAGCCGCCAAGGCACCTCAACTGTTCTCGGGAAACCCGAGTCGGTTTAGTCCTTGACAACTCGGACGAGCAGGTGGGGAACTCGGTCTACGCTTGCTCTGTGCACAGAAGTGTCGTCCATGCACAGATTCGTGTCTTTCAGCCCGAACATGAATAGGGACGCTGGTGAAGACAAGTGCCAAGAAAGTTATCGTCACACGGTGTATCTAGGCATTTCATCTCGAGCTCCTGGGAAAGCGCAGGGCCGCAATCTGTTAAGGTAGTCAATGAGGCCCTCCTCCTGCTTGCTCATGAGTGAGTGCAGGAAGGCTTCCGACAGTTACGCAAAGACAGGTTTTTCTTGACATGCATTCACTTGCTTGCATGTGTATGTGTGTGCACGCACGGATCACGTGTATATACTTATACAGTTTGTAACACTCTATACATTCATAGGCACGCTGTTTTTTCTCAGACTTCTCATTCCTCGTGAATTGCTACAGGTTGCTTGCTTCTCACACTTACTTACGCGACCGCTGCAACTTCTGAGTGAATTATTCGGGAAAATTGAGTTTGTCCATTCGAGAACAGTATCCGGATGACAAACGATTCCGGACATGCTGGAAAACGGCGGGCAACCCACCGAGGTATGCCTTGTGAAGTCCATCTCCGATGGGCTGGTGAAGGAGTGGCTAAGCCTGAGCTTTCCTTGTGGCTTCGCGTTCTCTCAGGGAAGGGGCTGACCCTGGCTGTTGCGTGTAGCCAATGTAGCCTAAAGGGTCCCACCATCCACCAAGGTGGAACGAGACCAGCAAGAACTTTGCTGTTGCCTGTCTCAGTTTTGAAGACGAAGAGCAACAAGGATAAGTCAGTGGCAGGAATTAAGAGTGTAGCACCCACGGCGCGACTGGTTGTAGTTTAGGGTGGCTTGATGGTGACATGAACGAAGCTTCGGCTGCCTTGAACCCGTGGACCTGCGCATCATTCAGCTTGTGGTCCTAAGTCTGCCTAAATCCGAGGAGTTCGCTAGGGAGAAGGCTGATGCACGGAGGCGCTTAATTCCCAAATGCGCTGCAGGTGAAGCCTAGACACCGACTGCTTTTCATCGATGGGCAACTTGGGCCGGAAGAGTTTCCGCGCCGGGGTTCGGGATCAAGTTTTTCTGGGTGAAGTATATATGTATATGAATATTATATACACTCACATTTCTCACATTTGGGGCACAGACTCCTATTAGGCTGCAGCCCTTTGGCTTGCATTAATTGAGATGGGGTGAAACGAGAAGGCCGCAGAGGTCGTCGCAGGTGGAGATGACACAGTGGTCACCTCTGACACGCTTGCTGAGACCCCGCAGCGAAGAGACGGACTGGACGCAGAGGTCAGCCGAAGACGACACCAGGAGTAGGGCAGGTATGCGGAGCAAGGCAAGCTTCAGGAAGAAGCGAAGAAGGTCGGCTCCAAGGACAGCGCCCTCCAATTCATCACACAACGTCGAGATGCCCAAGTCGGGGCAGGACGGAGCTGAGAGAAAGTGGAGGCCAAGGAGATCCAACACAAACGCAACTTCCTCGAAAGGCCCCTCCATAAAAGAGGGTAGCTTGCCGATCCGGAAGGCCTCCAGACACTCTGCATGGGTGAACTCGATAAGGCCGGACTCCCTTCGGGAAACTGCGCACCAAGGGGAGTCAGGGTGTACCCAGACAACCGTGTGAGCGGGGGAAGTCCGAAGAGGAGATCCCAGGCAGATCGGGGCCGTGTCAATGACACTAACCACACACGCAGCGTCCCTGTATGTGCGGAAGACAGACTGGGCAACGGCTGGATCAGGGACAATCCATTGGACAATGTCAGCTTGGCAGATCCACTCTGCACAAGTAATTAGACGCTCATGACCCCCGGAGGAGCAAAGTGTCTCAAGCCAGGCCTGAGCGGTCGCTCGGAGACGGTCTGTCGGTGCACACACACAAGAGAAGGCAATGCGGAGGCGATCCCATAGTACGGAATCCGACAAGAGTTCGACTGGCCCATCAAAGTCCAGGTGGAGTAGGCAATCCCATACTTCCGCAACCGGACAGTCTTCTTGTGGGAAGACGAGGGTCTGAGCGAACTGTCGGATCGGCCCACTCCCTGGCAAGGCCGGGCACAGTCCTGCCATCCGGTCGTCCACTTTGCGGTGTCCTACACCCGGTTCAAACTCACAAGCATATCCATTGGAAAGGAGCTTGTCTCTACATGACCGGGAATAGCGCAGGTGTCTGCAAAGTCTGACGTTGTTGCTGTATGTGCGGAGGCATGCTTGACACTGGAGCCCTGAGAGAATGCCCCGACCCGTCATGCGCCGACCATGACACTTAAAGGCATGAACCGACCACTTCTGCTTGGAGGGGAATGTGGTACGACACAAAGCACAGCAGTGGGCGGAGTCAAGGCGATCCTGTGTAACTCCATGCAGGGACGCCCCATGTAGTCGCAACTGTTGAACAAGAAGGGCGCAATGTTGTTGGTGTGCCGCCTGCCAGGCCTCAGCCTGGACAGCTCTGGCCTGAGCCCGTCGAAGCAGATTTTTCCAGCGACCTGGTGCCGACCCTATCATGGTCAACCACTCTGGCCAAACTTCGGTCCACCGTCGTGTGTCAGTTGATGACCGAGTAGTCTGCCACAACCAACTGAGGGATTCCCGAACTGATCCGAGCCAGGCCTCCTCCCAATGGGCCAGCGCCCACATCTGCTTGAGGCCGAGTCTAACGAACAGTAGCAGGTGTCTCAATCTGTGTACGTGAAGAAGCACAAACATCGACGGGAGTCCCAGAAAGGCAAGTACCTGATCACGACCTGCGTGCATAGCCTGATCAAAGTCCCAGTGTGGACGACACATATGGCAGGCCATCCTCTCATATGCTGCACTAAGTGCCGACTGAGCAGCGGGGCGTAGTGCAGGCCATGTTCCTGCACCGTGCAGTAGAACGGAAAGGATGAGGGAGTTGAAGAGGGTAGCCTTGGCAGTCTTGGGTACAATCGGAGAACCAAAGATCTGGCGTTTCCTCTTTTGGAAAGCCTCATGGGCCATCCCAACCCGAGAGCGTATCTCTCGAGCAACGTCACCCGAGAAATGGATGACACCGCCCAAGTGGCGGTAGAAATGCACGACCCGAACACGGGCTTGTTGCCACAGACGGGAAGGAATCTCGACAGAAGGGTCCTTGTCCCTGAAGAGGGCGGCCCTGCAGGCCTTGGAGCCCTTTCCACAGGGTACGATGATTAATTCTGTCTTACCTCGAGCGAGGTTGGGTAACAACGCCCTTGAGAGGCAAGCATCGAGTAAGGCACCTGTGACGTGCCTAGCCTTCGTGATGACAGCCTCAGCGGAATCCGCCAACATCATTAGAGCAAGGTCGTCCATCCAAGTGGCGTCCATGATGTCAATGGGTTGTGCCTCAGACGCCCTACTTGAGAAAATATCCCCCTGCATGGAGTCTCGAAAGGGCAAGTGAGTCAAGCAGCCCATGTCTACAAGGTCCCGCGAGAGTTCCCGTAGGACCCGGGAGAATAGAAAGGAAAAGATGACATCTGCACAATTGTCGCCCGGACGGCTCCCTATACCTGTCTGGACCAAGGAAGGTCCAGCTTTGAACCGAAACCATGTCGAGGCCAGCACTTCGCTCATGGCCTGAGAAAGCCAAGGGCTGGCCCCACTGTCCTCGAAAATGGACTTCCCAGAGAGGTGAAGGTGGAGCTCGTGCATGACCCCTGCGGGGAGACGAATGGTCTGTGCCACTTTGGCGATGGCCTCGTCGCAGAGTGGAGCTCCGGTCAGTAGGGGCCGACACACTCTATAAAATGCTTCTTGAAGGTCAAGAAATAGGATGGCGAAGGACTGTTGTTTTGCTCGTGCGGAAGCAACAAAGAGCCGTACAGCGTGTGAAACGGCTGTCACGGGGCACGAAGGCAAGCCCTCAAGTTGCAACGGGGATGTCACTGAGGAGAGAGGCCCAACACATCTGGAACGCAGGAGCCTATGAAAGGCTTTCCCTGTCACAGCAGAGATGAGAATACCTCTATGCGAGGCACACAACGCGGGCGAACCTTTGCCTTTCCAGGCCGCCTCAAGACTCCCACCCTTGAACTGAACCGGCTCTGCTAGGCGCATGCTGGTCTTAAGGAGGAGAGGGTAAAGAACCTTAGAGGCCGTGGCTACGGCGAAGTGGAGGGCTTCTCCCGGTACACCATCTAGACCCGCAGCTCGGCCTGTGGAAGTGTCCCGTAAAGCCGTTTCGAGCTCGATGCGGCTCGGAAGATCGGCCGCGGAGAACAGAAGAGAGTCAAGATCCCGGCTCGCTTGTATGTGCATGCAGCTCGCAGCGAGTTCCTGTGGAAGGATCTTGCAGCCGTCCTCAATGCCGGCAAAGTGCTGGATCCAAGTATCCTCAACTTCCTCACTGGTGGCGGCCGGTACACCGGTGGAGGTGAGCACCAGAGGAAGTCCATTGTGTGTTCGGGCCTTCCGTTTGGGTGGCCCCAGCAAGGGTTTGAGTCTGCGCACCGCCTCAGCCGTGGCGCAGTGTTCCGCCTCAGCGGCGACGTCGGTGATCCGTTGCCGGACATCTCTACGAACAGCCTGTCTGAGGGCCTTTCGTGTCTGCCGCAGTTCCTGTGCAAAACTCGCTAGCCGACGCTGTCGGCCCATGACGATAAAAACGCTGCAGAGCTCAAAGACCCTCAGGCGACACTGCCGACGCCATGCTAGGAAAGGTGCTCTGGTGCCCGGGGGGAGGAGACTTTCCCTGCACCGGAGTATCTGGCGACGTAGCCAGACGCGTCGTTGTCTGAGTTGCCAGGTGTACTCACTAAAGTGGGAGGAGCGGCACTGCCCTCTTTGACTGGGGAATGCCCTGGGCAGTGCTGTCTGAAGATAGGCTTCCAAAGCCGCCCAATGTCTGCGCACATTGGTTGACCAGGGGACGGTGGGTGCATGGCGCCAAACCTGTGCAAGAGTCGCCTGACCTTCTGCTGTGCCAATGGCTTCCCTGTCAACCCTGAACTTGGAAGGGCCCGGGGTGATAGCTTTGACAAGTGACGACACATCGACCTGGGCCGCAAAGTGGTCTGTGTGCGCCTGTCCCCAGTCAAGTTCAGCTTGAATGCAGGATGCTCGTGGTCCCGCTACCCACGTACAGGGTATGCCAACAAAGTCAATCCTTGAGCCGGATAACCCAGACGGGGAAATCCACGTAAGGGAGGGTCCATGATGAATGTCCGGAAAGGTCGAAGGGATCCACAGATCCTGTGTATGCAAGATCCGTTGAAGTCCTGACGGAACTGTGCCTGTCCCTGGTAGGACTAGGCTGCCAACTCGGCCCGGAATTTCAAGCGAAAAATGGACATTGTAGTCACCCAACAACACCACTTCATGGGCCTCACTGAAACGATGTAGCCTCTCATGGAGCGAGGCCCACCACAAGTCACGCTGTGGATCACAGGTAGTGGGACCATGGACGCAGACAAACAAGATCTTGATTCCTCCTCTTGCGAATCTCACAATGAGCGTGCGGGGGTCCGCAAAGGTAACGATGAAATCGCCCGGCTGAAAGAAAGACTTGATGCCCCTGGAGGACAGGAAGGGTGACAGACGGCTAAACCAAATCTCTACACCGTGGTTGCCGGCAGTGTCCTTTCCGGAGCAGAATCTTATGTGCGACTTCGAAGTGATCGTGTCGCTAGCCGACGCCCGCGTTTCTTGTAGGGCGGCAACATGAACATCTAGCGCAACTAGCTGTTCGCGGAGGAAACCGGCTCGACCCTTAAACCCCTTATCCTCAACCTCGGGGACAGAGGAATCATTGAGAGTCTGAACGTTGACAGTGAGCAACCTAAGCGAGAGCAGCTGTGAGCGGTCCGGCTGTGTGTGCAGTGATTCACGAAATCCGAACCATGCTCTGGCCTCGGATGTCGACGGAGGTTGGGCATCGGCAAACCTACTGTGATCAGTGAGGAATGCACCCTGAAAGCTGGGCCATGCCTGTGGCTCTGCCGCTCCAGTGTAAATCAACCACCACCAGTGGACAGATCCGTCCCTGATGGCTTGAGCCAGGCTGTGGGCTTGGGTGCTGAGTGTCGACTGAGTCCTATTTCTGACCGCAAATTTTGCAAGCGAGTCGACAAGTTCATTGTCCGGCTGTCCCTGGTGGGATCTAACGTGGCTAATGGAGCCACTGAAGGCAGGCTGGACAGCACACAGGAGTTGAAGAAGGGCACGTGCAGCCGGCATCATGGGGTAGTCGGTGTTACACCCCCAAGCTCCATTGGCCTGCTGTAGTGCCGACAGGCAATCGGCAAGGTACTCGAGTGAAGAGCAAGCAGGAGCTTGCATGCCCCAGTAAATTGCCCAGATTATTGCCGTGTATTCACCTGCTAGGGCAGAGTGTGCGGGTGCTCCGACAAAGGCAGGGTGTAGAGCAGAGACCTGGACTAGGCCGGCCTGCCATCCCAGGAAGTAGCTTGCCTGGCCCCTGTACCCGAAGGCGGCACAGGCCCAAGAGCTAACATCCCCGTCAAAAGACCCATCCGTAAAGACAGTGACTGCGTCAAAACACTTTGGCAGGAGTTGCTCGTCCTCTAGCCAGTCCGTGTTGCAGCAATCGAGTAGGGACTGGGCAGCGGGATGGATGTCAATGGAGTCAGGAATCGATAGATTGAGGTCGAAGGACCCTGGGCAGATACAACGCATGACCTGGTCCAGGCTTGTGCCGATATCAACTGAGACGACAGAGAGGTCAAAGGTCTGGCAGGCTGGTAAGTGTGAAGAAAGTCGCAGAGGCTCAGGTCTGCCAGGCCGAGGGCCTTGTATATCTGACCGATCTGGTTGAGTGGTGGCGATTGGGTGAGCCTCACCATGGCCCGGAGCCTGGTGTTCAAGTAAAGCCTCCAGCAGGGTCCAAGCAAGGAACAGCGGGTAGTCTTGGCTTTCAGCTCGACTATATTCAAGCAAGGTGTGCAATGGCAGCTCACAGTCAAGTTCCCAGCCTCCAGACGGAGCATGCGCAAGGCTGTCCCGTTCAGCAGCATCAGAGAAGGCGGGAGCACGCAAGGAAGCAAAAGGTGCATGACTGCGGCATGGCGTGGGCACTGGTCGGACAGCATCTTGTCCTAGCTGGCCGTTGGTTTCTTGGACAGGGGCGGTCTTGTCGACCACCGAAAGTTGAACTGCCTCGACAAAAGAGGAGTTGAACTGGACGTGAAGAAGGGCAAAGACGCAAAGCCAAGGCATGCGGCGTATTGCCCACAGGCAGCACGTTAGCAGGAAGTGTCCGATGGCGAGACTCAATAGGAACACTCGAAAGAATCCGGCCGCATCATCAGAGGTGTCTCCAGGCGGCCCTCTCCAAAGGGCATGATGAAAAGTAACCCAGTTCCACATGACGGAAGGACGGCTCTCTCTGGTGAATGGCCTCCACCAAAGAACATCTGAACAGTTAAGTTAAGTCTGGGGCGAGAGGCTGCGGTTTGGGATGCCACTCCACAGGCACGCGTCGCACCAGCAGGCTGTGAACCAGAACGGCGGGAGCCTCCTGTTCCAGCATCGTGCCCTGTTGAGATGCTAGCAGAGACAGAGTGACTGGAAGCGGCAGCGGAGTCTCCATCTTCTTGGTGCCCATCTGAACCATCAGCATCATGAGACGGTGGGCCGTCAGGAGGCGGTGTGTTACTTCCTGCTGTCGAGTCAGGAAGGAAGCTGCATGGCAAGAAGGTGAGGATGAGGACATCCAGGTCCTCTACCCAAATGTCCTGTGTGACATGGTGCACGAAACCATCCTGTTCAAAGTAGCACAACGCAAACCCTGTCGGGCAACGGCTGGCAAATTGGGCATTGAGTCTGGCACATGTAACAACGCCTCCAGGTGCACTGATGCATTCCACCCGTAGCAAAAGGGGCCTGGCATCGATGAAGCAGACGGCATGGCGTTCAACTTGTGGCATTGTGTAGAGAGCAGGGGTCAATGCAGCGACGACAAGGTCTTGGACAACACCAAGGTGGGTGTAGGCAGGAGCAAGAGGCTCAGGCGAGCACAAAATGAGAGAAGCCTCAATAACTCCAACAGCGACAGAAAGATCCCTTTTCAAGGAGCTTCGTCGCGCAGGATTGATGGTGAAAGAAAATGCCGCCTGCGGGCCAAGAACCCAGGCGTGCTCCTGCACAGAGAAGGTGGGGGTCCACGAGGGATCCCAATGTTCCGCTGAACTGAGAAGTGCGGACAGAGTGGTCGTTGTGAAGTGCGTGTGCCGCGGTGGAACAAAAATCGCAATGTCCCCATGACTGACAGTTACATTTGTCCCATGCTGGATGGGCCACGGAATGTCTTTGAGATAGACTTCAAGATCAGACTGTGGCGGAAAGCCCGCAGCGACGAGCAAGCCCTCTCTTTGCACAATGCCGGGGAGTTGTGCAACATGAATCTGGCCGTCAGCTCTAGTGCTGTCAAGTACAACTAGGGCACCCGAGGGGTCCCAAAGGGGTAGGCCTATCAAAACCGCTACCCCATCAAGGGACTGAATGGGAACATGGCCTACCCTAGGCAGATAGCTGCGGATAGCTGGATCTCTGGCAGCACTAACTGCCTCAAGGACCTCGGCAGTCCCGATGCCAAGCGGAATCCTCACACGAACGACCTCAACTTCATAATGTTGTCCGAGGATGCAAAAGACTGCTTCAGCAAAGGAGGGTGGCTCAGGAGTGTCGTCGCCACCGTGTCCACTTGTTGGACCAGCAGCATGGGCGGTGGCTGAAGGTGCTGAGTCAAAGAGTGGATCACTTCGAGCAACTCGAATAGTTGGAGCAGTATCTCGATCATTTGCGCTCAAGGACGCAGCAGGCGCCGAGATGTCAGAAGCTCCAGCAAAGTTGTCCGAAGCGTTTGGAGGCAAAGACGCAGCTCTAGAGGGAATATATTCAGCTACTAGAACCTGACCAGGGTGGACGGCTGCATGGCGCTGGGAACTCGGATGGCCCACGAAAACGGCGCGCCAGCCCCTAGGCGCATGTCCATCAAGGATGTCAAGGATATCCCATGCGTCAACGCGTCCTTCATTAAAGGGAACTGTGAACCAGCCATTACGCAACGGTCGGCAGTCAACCAGAACACAGAAGGCATTGGAATCAGCATGGTCTCTTTCAACAACACCGATGACGGCCCTGACCGGACAGCCCGCAACAACACAGTCAGTGATGCGGGGGTTGGCTGGGCAGAGCATGAAACCTCCAACTGGGAGGCCAAGGCTGGAAGCAATGGTGTTTATACCTGGTCGGACAGGTAACATCAGTCTCATGCAGAATGGTCTGACCATCGAAGACTAGACCATATGCCGCGACCTGACACGGAGGCAGTGTGAAGGGATCAACACTCCACCAGGTTGGATTGCCAAGGCATTCAGCAAGTGTGACAGGCTGCTCAGCAGGAGTGCCAGCGGGCACGATCCTAATGGTGTCACCGGAAGTGAGATGTAACTCTGCCCCGTCGGGAAGTGGGTCACTGTCATACCCAACATATACGTCAAGGTCCTGGTGAGCCGACAGCCCAGCAGCGTGCACAAGGGCAAATCGGTCGGCATAAGAACGCCCACTCTTTGCAAACAAGCGACCGTCTATAAGTCTTGTGTCAAAGCAGATGGTAGGTGGCTGGGGACCCCAGCTGGGTTCTGCAAGGAACAGTCCACAGCCGGCAATGGGCTGAGGATTCGCAGGATGTAGAATCGGGAATTGGCGCCTGTCCGTTGTCGGCCGGGCAGCCCGAACAGCAGCAAGAGCTTCCGGGGGCACTGCAGGAATGGTGAGGGTGACTTCCGTCTGGTACAGTGTGTACTCAGGTGTTGCAACAACAAAGTACAGACGTCGGTCCTCAGATACCTGTTCAAGCTCATCCTGAAACCCCGTGGTATCAGTTGCAAGGGGCTCCCGATGATCGAAGGGAGCGGAGTAAGTCCAGCTGACTTGTTCCTGGTTGCCATCACCAAAAGTGGGCAGATTCTCATGCCACTGAGAGAGACACTATAGGAACCAGGGTCACCCAAAAGTTTGAAGTTGAGAACCCCAAGGTGTAAATCCCAGGGACACCCAGAGAACGAGGAAGTTGGCAAAGGGCTGTTAACAAACAGTACTTCCTTCGGGTCAAGAGTGGAGGGAAATTGGAGGCAACTACAACCTGAAGCTGGGTGCCCCCAAAGAGGGAAGCAAGGATGCCAGGGGAAAGAATGGCATGGCCAGCAGCACCATCAGTGCGTCGGGGTGAGCGGCTTCTTTCGCGACGGTCTTCGGCAGCTCCATTATCGACAGAGGACATACTGGAATCAGAGCTTGCAGACTCTGATTCAGCATGCTCATCTTCCCCCTCAAGCTCCTGTGATGACAACCCGCTAGGGCCAGGGGAGTTCTCAAGGAAGTCTTGCACAAACTGCACTACCAGGATACCTGCTTGCGGAACGTGGACATAGGTGCCCTCAGTGCGTAGTTCATGCCTTCCACCCTTGATGCTGACAGCATAGCCAGGGGGTGCAGCAGGTTCAAAACGAGCGCACAAAGCATCGAAGTCGAGCACACCTTGATTGGTGAGGACCCATTCAATGTCACGAAGGATCGGCCTGGTATCTATGATGGCTGTGCATGGGCCAGCACCATCAGCACTGACAGTGGAGCCTCCAACGCGCTGAGTGGCAACACAAAGAGCCTTACAAGTGTGCCCAAAGTGCTCGATATCCTCTATGGCAGGGCAAGACCGATGCAAAACAGAATCAGAGAGGCTGTAACCAAGTTGTGCAGAAATGGCACGCCGGAATTCAACGGGATCATCGGCAGGATCCTGGTCATAGGAAAAGGCTCTTGGCGCTGAATCATTAAATACCAGCAGAGCCGACCGAACAGGCCCAGGGTACATGGGGCACGGTTGGGCCCAGTGGCGTTCAGACCCGAGAAGCTCTTCAAAAGTGTATAAAGGGCCCGGCCGACGGCCTCCACGGAGAAGCGTGAACAAGCCCCCATTCTCGGGCACGATGGCCCTGTCCCTCGGTTGAAGCCTGTCATCAAAGAAGATGTTCAGCTCCAGTGCATCGGTAAGCTGGACAGCGGACAGCAAGGAGGCCCGGGAAAGCTGTGCTGGCACAATGATGCTGAAAAGCCGACCATCAACATGTCGGAGATCAACAAGCACATGGCATCTGTCAGCAGCCCACACTGGCGAAGACAGAATGCACGCGAATCGATTGTCTGGCTGAGGCTCAACTGGGACAAGTGTGTCGAAGTAAAGGGACTGGTCTTCATTCCTGGCGTCTTGAACCTCATTGAGAGCATCTTCCGGATCACAGGGGACCCGCATGACGAGGGGCAGCACCTCTGCGCGGTATCGGGGCGCAAAGACAAGAAAGTGACCATGCAAGAAAGTGGGAGGAGGTACGCCCTGAGGCTTGTCCCTAGCGTAGACTGTCGGCGGCGGCGCATGTGCCTCATCGTCGTATCTGGCAGGAGGATGGACAGTTCGATGCACATCTGTGGCCCGTTGCCACGGAACTCCCTGGCAGCCTCCTGGCATATGGTACGGGTTGCGCATGCCAATGGTAGCACTGTTGACAAGTGAGTCGCCCGCCTGCTCTTCTACATCTAGAAGGGGAAACGGCTCTAGATCGACTGTCAGCACTCCTCCGTTGTGAACACAGAAAGCTGAGCCGACCTTTGGAAGGCCACTAAAGAGAGGTCGGTATCCTCGCGGGGGACTGAACACTATAAGTGACTGCAAGACCGATTCCTCAACCTGTTGATCATCCGTATAGTAGAAGGTAGGTTGTCTGCCGATGGGGCGACAGTCAAGGATGAGGAAAGTGCCTCGATTGGCCCTGTCTAGCTCAGACCGAGAGCCCTTTCGGGCCGCAATGACCCCGGCTAGAAGAGCTCCCTGGTGGACATAAGGATGGAAGGAATCCTTATCTGGCTTGCAAAGCATGAGGTGTTCTTGACGGCAGTGTAGCGCACTAGCTGCATGTGACGCGAGATCCTCATCAGGTTGACCTGGGTGGAGGATTTCACGATCGACACTTGGTGCAAGGACTAGCCAAGAATCAGAAACCTCCTCACTGATTATTTGGCGAACCTCGGCTGAGAGGAAGTCGGGGTCTCGGAGGCAATCGACTGTTGCAGGGTACCAAAAAGGGCTACCATAAACAGCAACAAACTTTATGGTGTCACCTGTGGTAACTCTTATGCTTCTGTCGGAGCACAGTGGTTCGGAGCTGCCTGTCTGAAACGCGTCCCAGGGAGAGACTGTGTGCCTGCTGGCATGCTCAATCAGCTGAGCATGCGGGAGGTTTCGCTCGACTATGACCGCGTAGACGGGACCACCAACTGCTGAGAAATCGAGGACGATCTCTGCATTGACGGAGCGCTCAAGCCATTGTGGGACTAGAATAAGCGAAACATAGCCCTCTTCTGGCTGTGGTTCAACGAAATCAAGGTCAGAGGCGAAGAAGACCCTCCTCGGACTCAGTTCAGCGATGACTGACTGCAGGAATAACACAGGGTCTGCAGGGACCTCGACAGGAACTTGCACAGATTGAGTAGGGTATCCCGGTGCAAAGAGGATACACTGCACCTTGAGTGCACGGCTGGTTGATGTTGACCCGACGCAAGGGCCGAACAGTTCATCTGTGCCGGACGCACTGGCTCCGGGCTGAGCCTGAGGTTCGGGTGGCAGAGGATCAGGTCGGGTGGTTGATGCACTGCCATATGAGGCAACTCTGTGGTTGGGCCCAGGGGCAACTTCGACTAGATGATCCCTTGGTATCCGGAGGGGAGCTGCCCAAACACAGACAGGGTAGTGGAGCAATGCAAGAAGCCACAAAGCAAGCCAATTGCCTACCTTAGGTATTCTCCGAGATCGACTGGGGTGACCTCCTTGCAGCCCTTTACTCGGCCTTTTGTGTGCGGTGCTAGGTCGGGGCAGGCCGAAGGACTGACTAGGGGAGAACCCCCGGAGACAAATGAGGAGCCTAGCCGAGACTCCTTTGCAAGGAAGACCTAGGAGTCGCCCTAGAGGTTCATGTCTTTCTGGAAGTTGTCTCCAAAGGCAAACGTACAGGGCAAGCGCAAAGATGGACAAAATCGCCCTGCACAGGGGCACTAGGAAAGTGCCCAGGTCAAGCAGGAAGTTCAGAATCCTGTCGTTGACAACAGAAGACTTGGGATCAAACCCAAAAGAGGGGGGACTAAACCTGAGAGGTCTAGGGGATTCGGGATGTGTGACCAGCTCCCCGGCGGACGCCCCTGAACCACCGATACGTCTCTTAGGTGCTCGGGGAAACTGGTCATCAACATGCACTGTGCAGTGTACGCCATCCTCAACGGTAATGACGTCATCAAAATTGAAGGTCCAGGCCCTTCGTGGCGTGACAGACGACAGGTATGGAGTGCAGCCAAAAATCAAGACGCTTGATCTCCAATCTGGTGAGTAAGAAGCCGCAAAGGCAGTCATGGCAGTGGGCTGCAAAGGAAAAGGGACAAGGGTAGTAGCATGATGCTGGGAGCGTTGATATGGCAGAGGGACACCAGAGCGGGTGCAAGTCAAGCACCCCTCCAGTCTCCGCGAGGAAGAAAAGAACCCAATTCCAACGACATCGATCAAATCAAGAAAGATGCCAGAAGGAACAGGGTCCCGCAAGGAGACGCTACAGTCGCCCTCCAAGTCGTCTCGGCGAGACACCCTGCGAATGACAGACATGAGTGAGCCTGATCGCAAAGTGTGAGGGGCACGACTAAACACCTGACAGGAGACAAGAGCCCAATGTTCCATATCATGGTGCAAGTCGGTGGGAGGCTCGCCAGAGCAAAACTGTACAACACAAGAAATGTGAAATGCGTCGGCTCTCAGATTTGGAAGCTCATGGAAGACCAAATCAGAAGGGTCCCGGAGGAGATGCTGTCCGACCAACAACAGGAAGAAGGAAGTCAGAGGAGCCAGCCCCATGATGCTCTCTGACCTCCATTCTGCCGGGCTGACCAGACAATCCCCAGAGGAACAAATCTGATTGGTCTCCATGGGCTTCTCTGCAGATGCTACACATCCAGTTTGGCAAGATCGCCAGTCTGTCCAGGTACAGCATGTTGAAGCTCTTCTTGTGTCACAACGATCGTATCGTTGGCGTTGTGACCCGGGTGTCCATCTGGTCGGAGGCCGAAGGGAAACATGGCTCCACTGCTTCGCTTGTTTTGCACACGTTCCTCGAGCGATGGAGCAGGTGCATGGTCGCCTCCGGCAAGTTCCCCAGGCTTGTTCTGAGGTTCCTTGACAGGTCCTCGGGTCTCGTAAGGGTTGATCCGTGGGGAAGCCGATGTAGTCCTCTTCAGTCTGGTCGTCGCTGGAGAAGTTTGGTATGGACCAGCACCTGGAGGCTCCGCATAAGCAGGTGTTGGCAGACCAGCTGGCAGATTGGCCGCAGGAGGGTGTCCTGCTCCAGTCACATGCCCCTCTTGGCTCAAGGTTCCCGTCCCGTATGGCACGGCAAGGCCCGGCGGGGTAGTCTGCCCTTGGCCAATGTGTGGCAGCACCGATAAAGTAGCCTGGAGGAGGCGAGCAGCAGCCTCCGGAGTCATCAGACATTGTCCTGGACCATTGGAGGGTGCTCCACTCGTCCGAATCATGTTCGCAGCTGCCAAGGCGTCTTGCAGGAACCCTGCCTGTGCAGGGACTTCGGTCGTCGATAGCAGGGTGTCCCAAGGGTCCTCCACATTCTCCATCGGAACAGCAGCTGCAGGTCGTTCGCCATTCACAATGGCTTGAACGCTGCGGGCAGCGTCCTGTCCGACAGTGGTCGAGTCCTGGATCTCCTGGTCGATCCTTTGCAGAGCCGATTCGTACCTTGTTAGCTCGGCCACGTAGTCCTCTTTGGCTTTCTTGGCGAAAAGCTTCCATTGCGCTTCCTTGGTGGTCTTTTCCTCGCGAAGCCTTCGCACTTTGTTGTCTGCTTTCTTCGCGATGGATACTGCCTTCTGAACTTCTCGCATCACGTTGTACCCCTCGATGTTCTCTGTCGGTATCGTAGGGGCTGCGGTAGAGGGCAGCTCGACCTGGTCGTAGGAGGGGCGTGTGTTGGCCGATTTGGCCCGCGGCGACGCAGCATAGGAGCCAGGCCAGACACGACCTGGCCAGGGAGGTCTGCCTCCACGCCATTCTTTCCACTCCTTTGCTGTCCATTTCTTTCCACCCATGCCCTGAGAGGTTGGGGGGAGTCGGCTGTATCTCGGCCTCGAGTGGTGGCTTTCCAACAGAGCCAAATCTTTTGGCAGTGGATACAGGCCAGCAAGTCTCCTTGCCTTGATTCTGGCCCTGCCGCGGGAGCGTTTGGCTCGCAGCCGCCGGTGCCAAGCAGGACTTCTATGAAGTCCCGTCGCAATGGCCCGCGGAGTCAAAGCGTGCTCTGTGGCACTGGGGCTACAGCTATCCTCTTCCTGAGGTTGATCTGAGCCCTTATTATATACACATGTATATACATATGTGTATATATATACATACATACATACATACATACATACATATATATATATAGGAGGACGGGCACCTTCAGCTGCAACGGGTGTGATTGCAGAGAGACACGTCACCTCCGGGGAGGTTTGTTTCTCCACCGAAACTCTGAAACTTTACCCCGCGGTGACAGGGAGAGTACTAGGACCTAGCTCCATGTGCCTCGTCGGAACAACACGAACCCAGAGTTTGGAGCGATCCTCAACCCTTGACATGTGGGTTCGGGTTTCGAATGGGTTCTCCTCAACTGGCGAGGCAACCTTTCGCCTGCCTCTTGAATTGTTATCAACAGCGAAAGTCCTTTGCACATATAGCTGTAGTCCCTACATCGCCCAGCGATTGAACATCTTTAAAATAGAGAAGCTGCTTGAAAGGCAGCCAGGGAGCAGCACGGAGTTCATGGCTGAGCTGCCGCTGGCCCGAGAAATTGGGCTTGGCATCGGTTTTCTTGCGGTATCGTCCATTGCAACGACTGCTTAATCGCGGTCGGGGTCATGTCCTATCCCCGTTCTAGAGACCAGATGTAAAGATCAGAGTTTGTGTGGCACCTGCCGGAAACACTTGCTGCAATTCCAAAGGATTGAAGCGTTCATTTCGAGGCAGCCTTGGCCACACTCCTTCACTTAGCGGACTGCACCTGCCCGAATGGATTGGCTCAAGAGTATAGCGGGGAGTTCATGCTTCTCGTGAACATTTGACTGCATTGCGAAAAAAACCAATGTAGGTTTTACAGACGTGTCGCTAGACGTCGCCGACGCCTCGCAACAATGCACTTGCAAAGAAGGCCTCGTGGACACTCATCGACATCAACGAACAGAACCGTTGATGCGGAAATACAGAGTGATCTTTCGCGAGTTGAATGCCGATACGCCATGGCACCGAAAAAGAGAAAGCTCGCCACACGAGCAAGGTCCCAGCGGGTCGTGGAGCGTGATGTCCTGACCTCCTCAGCACCAGCCTTTGTCAGCTCCGGCCGTGGCAAGGGAGAGAAAGTTTGCGGTGCTTGCTTGCTGCCGATCGAGTCTGACGCGCAGGTGGGAGCAATCGACAACTGCACGCATCTTTTCCATCACAGTTGTGTCGAAAAGTGGTCAGAGACTGAAAACAGCTGCCCGCAATGCAAGACCCGATTCTTCTGGCTGGCAGCTTACGATGAAAGTTGCAAAAGGACCTCGTTGACAAGGATCGAAAGTAAAGACCAAGAGGAGCAGGAGGACGAAGCATTCGAAGAAATTTCGGTCTGCGAGATGTGCCATCAAGTTGGTGACGAGAGCCAGCTGCTGCTTTGCGACGGCATGCATGGCACCTGCAATGCTACATTTCACGTAGCTTGTGTTGGGCTTCATGAAGTACCACGGGGAGCCTGGTTTTGTCCAGACTGTATCGAGCGTGGTTTCGATGTTGATGCGCAAGGACGTCGTGGAACCTCGCAGAAGAAGGACGACACTGTCGAGGTGACGCCGACTCGCCGTGCAACACGAACAGATGCTCAAAGCGTCACAAATCAAGAGAGCACTCCTCCGCCAGCTGAGCTCCCTCGCCGTTTGCCAAACAGGGGGAATCGATTTCCGTCACAGCTGCAGCTCAGCGCATTGGCATGCGTGACTCCGGCAGTTGAAGTTCCTGTGTTCAATGGAGCAAATGAACGTCCACAACCAGAAGGCCTTTTTGCAACTTTTGCTGCACGGCGACGAGCACGGCGTGGCTCTGAAACCCAGCAGAGAACCAGCTTCATCTCATTGAATCCGAGTTACGAGGACGATTTCATGGCCAATCAAAAAGACGAAGCGAAGGGGTGACGCGGGGAGCAGCAGCGTTTCTCTTTCTGAGCCGCTGGCATGGATCACTCTACCCTGAATCTCATGAAATTTTGCTACGTTTCACCAGTGACACAGAGCCTTTCAGAAGCAGAGGTAGATGCGATAGCTTACCTAGACTCTCCCGGGAAAGGATGTGGCCAAAATTCAACATCAAGTGTGTTCCCGCTTGAACGTATGCAACACGGCACGCGTCACGTCTGATTGCTGACGGTTAAGTTCAGCCATTTTGGTGGCAGTTCTGCCAAGTAAGTTGCGGCTTGCCTATCTCAGGATGACTCGATCAACTGCAGTCAACCTGACCTTTGAACGGCCGCTGGTGTTGCGCATTGCCCTTCGAACCTTGGCCAAGTTTATTGCAGGTGCTTTCGGTTCCTGATGGTGTAGGTTCCCCGGGAAACGGGGAGTCTTGGATGGATTGCAATACGAAATCTTCGATGTCGACAGGACCTCCAGAGAGTCCAGCTCAGACTCGGATCTGCGCAACCTTGCCCATCGCTGACCTGAGCCGAGGAAAGTCAGAGGATGAGCCGCTGGGGCTTGTGCTGCGCCCGACAGAAAGCGATGCACCTCGGTCCTGTGTGTTAACAGCTTTGTCAGCAGTTAACATACGAGCTTTACGGCGGCAACAACAAGCTAGGGCAGACTGTATAACGTCAGGTCAGTGAACCATGCTACCAGAGATGAAGCCCTGAGAAGCAAGTCCAAGAGTTTCAGACATGCGCGAGAAGCCAGCTATCAGTTATCTTATACCATTTCATATTATAACACAGGCTATGCTTCATTCCATACTTTACGATTTTGATGTGTATCATTTTTATGTATTTGCATATATGATACTTCGCATTATACGATGTAGTATATTGTATTGTTTTGTCTTGTCTTGCGTTCTGGTTTGTGGTACTTGTCTGTGATGAAGTTTGTTGTTTTGTATTTATTGGGTTCTATTGTGATTTGTATCAGAACAGTTACTTCTTGTATTTGCGGTTCGGTTATACTAGGCCATACTATACCGTGGTAGACCATATCATACCATGGCATGTCATATTAGGCTAAGTTATGTCAGATCATGTTTCATACTGGGTTATTTGCCTTATGCTCTATTCCAGTATCCTCCATGATCTTAGAATCAACCATATTATCTGAGCTAAGAGAAGGTTGTATTAGATATTTTTTATGTTGTACTGCGTACTCCATATCACATTGCATCTTGATGTTCATTAGCATCGGTTAGAGTAGATTGGAATAAGCTGTATTAGTTATGCTACATTTAAAGCTTACCTTATACTTGAATACGTATACTGTGTTTCCTGACTATATGATATCACTTTTTCTACTCTACCGTACTGTAGTCTTCTATACATGTATATATATATATATACATATATATATATATATTTCTATTATGTTATGTTTGTATTAGCCAGGCGATGATCGTGGAGGTTCAGCCCGGCTTAATACGCACCTGGAATAAGGCGGCCTCACCGACAACGACGGCCACTGTGATGCAGATAGTGGCAATACCAATATTCATAGTCGTGATCAGTGATAGTGCTAATAATGGTAATAGTAGTACTAACACATATAGCAATACTAGTAATAGCGGTGTTTGTACTACTAGTAGCAAAGTTAGCAATATCAGTCATAACAGTAATGGAAAGATTGTGCCACCCGGGATCAGTTTGGTTCCAACCTGTGAGTTGCGGAAGAGCTGTTCCAGAGTCAAGGCTGTTCAGTCCTGGAACGCCCTGTGCTTTATTGATACGACAGGAGAAGATGCAACTCCGAACACCTTTGCAACCAGAGAGATATCCCCACAATGCTCTAAGCTGATGTGACCTGCATGGAATGAGTTGGGGTGACACACCGGAAGGATGGCGGAAGCATGATGTTTTAGACGTGTTTCTCGTGGGATCGAGGATGTTCGGGGCTCAGGGTCCCTGACTCAGAGGTTAGCCTTCGTTCTGCTATTTGCTTCAAACAGGATTGTGATGTCGTGGGGGGGCTGCTCGTAACCACTACAGGATGAAACTGAACAGCTGCAAGGCACCTTCCGAGTCCTGACGCAAGCCAGAGCTTCTGGCATTGAACCGACTTGGGATTGAGGGCTCCCGCAAGCGTTCGTCACTCATCACAGCTGGAGGTGAAGAAATCCGACCGCATCATTGCTGTGAATGGCAGCTCCGGGTCAGGCCAAGACCTCATGAAGATTATCGCGGCACGGCCGAGTTGAGTTCTATGGGTCATTTGGCCGTCGGCAAAGAGGTTGAGCAATCTGGGTGGCGTCGGTGTAAGCATCATACAGGTAGTGGCACGTAGCACGTGCAGTGTGCTTAGACCTTGGTGGCGCTGTAGGTTGGTGGATGCTGGGGTTGCTTCGAAAGCGCAGCCTCTGATTGCAAATTGACCACGAAAGCTCAGGAGACCGATGATGTGTTGGACCTTCGAGTATTTTCATGGCAGGCATATCTTGATCTGGGTCTCAGCTGAGACAACCTGCGGGCTGAACAATAAGTCAGATATGGAGATTTATCACCAGGATTCAGAACAGATGTCCGCTTGGACCAGATGGTTGTGTGGTTGCGCGTGTTCGTGTTCGCTTCTGTAGAGCTAACTGCCTGAGGCAGTGAGAGGTTTCACCATTTTTCAGGAGTAGAGGTAGTGCCCCACCAGTGGGAGGCAACAGCCTGACACCGCATGACACATGGAAAAGAGGTTCCAGAGGGAGCGAAACCGTTTGCAAGAGATAGTCTCCGGCTCGTTCCAATCATTCAGCTCAGTTTTGATGGCCCGTAAAGATGGTCTTGAAATAGATCCGCACTGCCTTAGCCGTGTAATGGGCTAGTTCACAGTCCCAGTCGAAGTGACCAGTCGTCGTGAAGCCTTGCCTGCGTGGTGCGAGTGTGAGAGACGAAATCCATAATCGTGCACCATGCATCGGCGGTGTTCCATCATGCAACCGAGCACAACGAAGTCATTCCTGCTCAAGTTTCGGGCAGTGTGTCTTCACAGGTGTAAGAACAACACAGTGCCCTGGCACACTCTTAAAACTTCGCTCAGCACCCTCACGAGAGACCGTGGCCGTAGCCCTGGGAGTCCCTGTGGCCATGGCCATGGAGGAGGCCGTCGAAGCCAAGGAGTCCAATGAGTTCCACAACGGCTTCTGCGAGGTCTGTCAGAAGGATGGTCGCGTGTTGTTCTGCGAGAACTGCACCAGAGCCTTCCACGTGGCATGCATCGAAAAGTTCGTGGATCTTCAAACGCTGGGGATTCAGGACCGCTGGGTGTGTCCGGTATGTGTCCACGGGCCGGAGGTGCTTCTCAGGGGTTACAAGAAGCCACAGCTCGCGGAGGAGCAGATGGAAGACCTGATGCTGAAGCATCAGCGAGAATGCAAGAGGATTGCTTCGGCGAGTGTGCGCAACCGAGACCGAACTTTCCTGAAGGCGATCGACGATGTCGCGCCCTTCGCTTCAAGGCCAGCGCTCCGACGAATTCAGAACTCCGAGGCAAAGGCCTCCAGAGCGAGGATGCCACAGATTCTGGACGATGACAGTGATGGGTCTGTCTCAACGGTGCCAGATGTTCGGACGCTGGACCCGCAAAGCCATACTCCCGAGATGTACAAAGACGTGCTCGCGGAGGGCATCCGCCTGAAGAAATACCAGGCCGAGGGCGTGGGCTGGATGATCCAAGGCTTCTTCGACCGCTGTGGTGGCATCCTCGCCGACGACATGGGCCTCGGGAAGACGCTGATGACCTTGTGCTTCCTGAGCTATCTCAAGGTGAAGGAGCGAGTTCCAGGTCCTGCCCTGGTGGTTGTGCCCTTAAGCTGCGCTGGGAATTGGCTGCGTGAGGCGAGGAAGTTTGTCCCGCACCTGTCGATCGCAAAGGTGTGCGGAAACGTCAAAGAGAAGTCCCTGAGTTTGGACGACAACGAGATCTGGTTCGGCATGAAGGACATCATCGTTACGACCTATGAGACAGTGGCAAGCATAGAGAACTATTTCGGGCGGATGTTCTGGAAGGCCGTGATCTTGGACGAGGCACATCGCGCAAAGAACTCTGCCAGTCGAATCCGGGAGGCCTTGGAAGAGACACACAGCGCGTGCCGAATCCTCTTGACCGGCACGCCGCTCCAGAACAACTTGAAAGAGCTCCACGCTCTGCTCAAGTTCCTTTGGCCCGACGTGCTAGCGAAGCAGTCCGAGATGTTTGAGAACGCCATCCAGCTGCCCGAGCTGGCGGGGAAGGCCGACTCGAACTCAAAAGCTTGCATCAACCAGGTTATGGTGGACAAGATCCGCGGGCTGCTTGCTCTGAGCATGAAGCGGCGCAAGAAGGAGGAGGTGCTGTCGCTACCGCCCAAGATTTTCCACGATGTGTGGCTGCCAATGTCTCCGCTCCAGGTCCAATGGTATCGCCGGGTCCTGTCTCTCAAGAACACGCAGATGTCCAGAGACCTTAGGAGTCTCAAGAAGCTCATCATTCGACTTCGAAACGTTTGCATTCACCCACGTCTAGCGGTGGCAACCAAGGAAGATGAGGAGTTCATGCTGTCTATGGGCGTCTGCTCCCAAGAGGAGATTGACCAGCTCAAAGACGGCCCACCGGTGAATGAAGAGGTCATTGGCCAGAGCTACAAGCTGGCATTCCTTGATGCACTGCTCACGCACCTCCATGCCCAAAACATGGGCCTCAACGACAATTGGCGCAAGACCTTCGAGGCACGCACCAAACAGAAGGATGCGAAGAAGAAGTCTGCCTCGGCTTGGTTGAAGAATGCCTCCGGCCCTTTGTTTCTGGATGACATGAAGTACCACCGGATGCAGCTCGAGGGTGGCAAGGAGCATGCAGGCTTCCTCGACGGAACGGAGGACGTTGATTGGGACACTCCGCAGCCGCACAAGGCCCTGATATTCTGCCAGTACCAGGTCAATATGGACTTCCTGGAGGAATACTGCAAGTTCAGGGGCTACCGCTACATGCGCATGGATGGATCGACAAACAGGGTGCTGCGGGAGTTGGACATGCGCGACTTCAATGCTTTAGATGAGGACGTCTTCATCTACTTGATCAGCACGCGAGCCGGCGGCTTGGGAGTCAACCTGGCCTCGGCGAATCATGTCATCATGTTTGAGCAGGACTGGAATCCGCACGTGGACAGCCAGGCGATTGATCGTGCACACCGCATCGGTCAGTCGAGACAGGTCCACATCCATCGCCCAATCCTGGAGTGGGCAGTGGAGGAGCGCCTATTGATCCGCTCGAACGCGAAGCTCGAGATGGAAAAGAACATCATCGGCGACAGTGTTCCTGGGGAGGAGGATGAGAAGGAGGACTCCGAAGAGAAGCTCGATGCAGAGGAGATCATGAGCATCCTGAACAATGGAGAGTCAGCCTTCAAGGTCTTTGAGGGTGACACCTTCAGCTTCGATCTGGAGGAGTACTTCGAGCGAAAGCGGGCCCCAATGCCGGAGGTGAAGGACCGCTCCCCCTTGCGGCCGCCAAGGCCAAAGAGACGAGAGGCAGAGCAGGCGCCTCCTCCGGATCCGGATGATGTCTTGAGGTCGGGCTCCGGTCGAGTCGTGAAGCGCAAGCTCACCTTCGCCGAGGAGTTCTGCACTGCGCCGATGAAGCAGAAGAAGACCGATGTGATCAAGCTGAAACACATACCGAAGTGCTTCACTTGCGGCGTCAAGGACGAAAGGCCTTTGCAGCAGTGCGCCTGTTGCCCGATGTCGCATCACGTGCAATGCGTCGGGCACACTCCAAAAAAGTGGACTTGCCCGTGGCACTACTGCAGCTCCTGCAGCCGCAGCGCCAACCAAGTTGGAGGGATGCTCATCCACTGTCTTGAATGCCCGGCCGCGCTTTGCTACGATTGTTTCCCGCCAGACTTCCGCAGGGTCTATCCGCCGGACAGGTTCTGGGATGAGATGAAGAAACGGGGATGGAATGTGACGCCTGCCAAGATGGCCTTCTTCAAGTGCAACAGCTGCCGAACTTTGGAGGAGCAGCAGAAGCGGCTGAAAATGCGAGCGGAAGACCTTGCCGTTCAGCAGGATGCAGAGAAGAAGGCCGCCCTGGAGGAGAAGCGAAACCTGGCCACTGTGAAGAAGCGCAAGATGGATGAAGAGGCCCAGCGCCGGATGCAGGAGTACAAAGTGCAGCATCAGCAGCAGCGAGTGGCCGAGGAGATCAGTCACTGGAGGGTACGCTTGGAGCGCACAGCGGAGAAGCTGTGGCCGAAGGAATTCCGTCGTATCTGGCAGCAGCATGTCAAGACCAATCAGAAGGAGATTGGCAAAGCAATGGTTGGAAGGACGGCCGCCATGCCCTCCGTCGATCTGCTGATGAGGAGCTTGGAGACCTGTGAGAAATGCGGCAATCCTGGCCACAAGGGTCGCGACTGCCCCTTCGAGTCCGAATCACCAACGAAAGGCCGGGTTGGCAGCAAAAGCTTCGCGCTGAGCCTCACGCCAGAGAAGAGGGCCGAGCGGATGGCGATCTTCAAGGAGCTCGAGGCCGCGATGCGCCAGGAGAAGCCCGTGCCTGAGCCGGAGATCGACCTCAAGGAGACGACCCCGGCCTGGCAAATCGTGCATGCCTACCGTTCCGTTGAGGCTGCTTTCAAGGCAAAGGTCCTCGAGCTCACGAGCAGGGTTTCTGCAAAGCTGGTGGTTACAGACAAGGACTGTGAGAGCGCATCAAGGCGCCAGATGAATGCCTTGGAGGCAGCCAAGGCAGCAGCAGCCGCAGCGATTGCTCGAAAGGAGAAGGCAGCTGCAAAGCAAGCCGCAGCAAGCAAGGCAGCCGAAGCGAAGAGGAATGCGGCACAGAAGGCAGCCGAAGCCAAGAGGAAAGCTTCACAGAAGGCAGCGGAAAAGGCAGCCGAGGCGAAGAGGATTGCAGCACAAAAGGCAGCTCAGAGGCAAAACCCTGAGGTGCCTGCACTCCAGGGCAAGACTAGCAAGAGCCCAGAAAAGGTCAGATACATCGATTCTGGGCCTGCAGCAGGCTGGCACGTGAAAGGCCGAGCCTACCCAACTGCTATCACCATGTGGGTGTTGCCTCCGAATGGTTCGGTGTGGCTCTCGCGGGTGCAAGCCCTGAAGGAGCTGGAGGGATCGGATCCCACAGTCATCGAAGCCATCGACAGGGTGAGGTGGCAGGTGCAACAGGAGCTCAAGGGTCGCCACGTCCCAGCCGCTGAGCCCGCAGCCGCCACGGAGGGCAGAAAAAAGCTCCGCCTGAGCTGGAGCGAGGAGAGCCACCGCAGCCGCAGCTCCGCTTCCTCCAGCGAGTCGGTGCGAATTCTGAGCTGAGGCTTGGGGGGGTTTCAGCTCTCAATCAAAGGCCAATGGACCAGAACGTGCGGGAGTATGTTGGTGTCTCTGTCTTGGGTGTTCTATGCTGCTCTATAGTTCTTAGATGCTGACATCCTGTTGCTGCCTCCGTAGTCCTGCACGTCGCTGTAGCACGCACGA